AGCTGGCATTTTCCAAGGGGTTCCTTGAGTCTACCTCAAGTCTAAAAAGTTTAAGAACCACTGACCTAGTGAAACAACAGCTATGACAGTTACAAAGTACACTTGGACCTGTCTCTTCTAAGTATTTCTTTTCCCTTGACCATGGTATATATGAAATCTCTTGGAGCCACAGCACAGGTCTATAATACTGCAGGCTCTTTGGCTTTGATTCAGGAAAGCGCCTCTCCAAGATGCACATAATTGCTCTTTTGATCCAAGATGAGTTTATACTTGTCCTTATGCACTTCCCTGAAATGAAGCCTTTGAGAGGAAAGCAGCTAGGCATTACAGAATGGTAGTGAGAAGTTGCAACCTGAACTAACTGCATGTCTGTATATTTTAAATTAATTTTACAGCAATAAATTTGTTTAAAAACTGAATTATTTGTTGTTTCAGATGTTGATGGTTTGATTACCCAAGCTTTACTGACTGGCAACTTTGACAGTGCAGTCAGTCTTTGCTTGCACGATAACCGTATGGCAGATGCTATCATACTAGCCATAGCAGGTGGACAAGAGCTTCTGTCTAAGACACAGAAAAAGTACTTTGCTAAGATGCAGAGCAAAATCACCAGGGTATGTAGCTTTTCAACTGAAAACCAAATAGGAACCTATGTATATAAATACATTTCTGACACTGTTAGTACTGTAGATGATGTTGCCTTCCTTTCTTTTAGATTGGTTTCTAAGAGAATGGGTCAAAGGTTAAATTTTCACAATGTTTTGGAAATAAAAGTGCATTCCTGGCTTTATTGTATAATTGAACAGAGAAAAGGATCATTAGATAGGAAGAAAAGGTTTTACCTTTATTTCTTTTGTTTCTCCTTATCCTTATAAAATTAAATAAACCCTTATATACAAAAAAGATAGAAATGTAGCTTAAATAGCGGCAGTGCATGTGCCAGCATCTTTTCTGATTATCATTTTGATATACAGTATGAGGATGAGTCCATCCTCAGCACTCAGACTACAGTTGAAATGAACAGTATGTTCATTTCTCTCTGATCAAGTGGAGCAGAGATTTTGCTGATTTTTCTGTTTTTAATGTTTTTATTACTATAACAGGAGATGACTAATCTAATTGCACATCATCTGCAAGGAAGAGTGTTATGGACATCTGGTTATTTATTCTCTTCAGCTCTTGCTTTGCTGGTAGTTGCTGACAGTGCTCCTTCAGTTCTGTACTTCCTGCCATTCACTTGCATCAGAATGGCAGCAAGTGATGAAAGCAAGAAGAGCAGCCATCAAGAAATACTGTGCCACAGTTTGCTAGTTGAAGTTCACTATGCATGTCATAAGAGAAATCTTCATGCATCACTTCTTACTAACCCTTTGAATCAGAAGGACTTTTATTGCAACTTTAGGAGGCAAAACTGGGCATGTTTTTATTTCCATTTTAAGGTTCTGATCTAGCAAACACTGAAGCATCTGCTCAACTTGAAGCATTGGCCTCACGTGTTTCAAGGTGATTTGGCTTGAGGCCAAAAGTTGCAAAACATGGTCACTGTTTCTAGTTTCTACTACTTGTGGGAGGCAAGTGAACATTTATCTTTCTGAGGTCTTTTCTAGACCATCTTTAAAAAGTTGGATTAAAGAAAAGAAGAAAAATAATGTAAATATCTCAGATACTCCTTTCTGCAATCCATCCTTTGGAGAAAGGCAGTTTCAAGGAAGTGACCCTTTACCTATGCATCCTGTCAACAAAGAAATGATAAACTTACAACACTTTTAATTTATGATGTAATTGCTTTCACTTCTGTTAGGTTCTCAACTGCTCACTTGATGCTTGTTCAGCCTTTTAAAACTTGGCCTTATCAGCCCTGTGTTCACTAAATATAATTTCAGCTGCCAAATAAATCAATATTTTATCTGAGGTTGAGTTAACTGGAGATGGGGAAGGGAAATTTGAAATTGACTTTCAAGACTGGCAGTTTAGTCTCCGGACAAAGGGCAGGCTTGTTCAGTTAATTGAAGAGTGTATTATTCATACAAATCTAATTTGCTTCTCTTCAGGGCAGTTTCTCTTAACAGCAATTCAGTACTCTTTTAGAGGTGTTCAGCTTTGTAAATGGATTGAAAACATGTAGTTAGCAAAGAATTAGTATAGAAACAAAACCAGTGACTTCAGTTGCTTTGCCCTGTGTTTATAGCTAAATTCTTACCAGACAAAGCCAACCTTTACTTGTAAAACACATTTTAAAAGCACCTTCAGCAGCCTCAATATGCTTATTATTGTACTTATGTCATATGAATTAGTGAATAAGTTTCTTTTGCCTTGTTTCCTAACTCTGTTGGTTCCCATGTAAATCAAATCTTACTGTTCCTTCCAACAAATTGGAATCCTGGGGGTGTCTGCTGTATGGCCAGATACCACTGCAATGGGTGCCCAACCTGGGTACAAATTCTGTCAAGTCCTCATTCAGATCTTTCTCTTTTTTTCCCCCCCCAGCTCATCACTGCTGTTGTGACCAAGAACTGGAAAGAGATAGTTCAGTCTTGTGACTTGCAAAACTGGAGAGAGGCTTTGGCTGCTGTGCTGACTTATGCCAGGCCGGATGAGTTTGCAGCTCTTTGTGGTAAGGAAACTGTATGGAATGGGGGGGTGACTTATTTTACTTCATTTTAGCACAATTACAGTTTTTAAATCCTCCAGAATTACTTTCCTTCCAGTGAATTTATTTTATTGGTATTTCCTTTGTTTTGGAGTATTGGAATTTTGAAGGAAGACAATCACTCAGAATCAGTATAGTGTTATTCCTCATCTCCTTCCCACCAAAGCTGTCCATACTGTTTCCAGTAGTGCCTTGGTCTTATGGTTAGGAGGTTCTTTTGTCTCCAGGCCTGTCGGTTGGTCCTCCTTTTCCGTAACACATTGCAGTAATTACTTTTTTTTAACAGAAGAAAAATAAACCATCTGTTAAGGCAGTCCTTTCATCAGGCATTGCTGTATAGCTCTCCGGCTGCAGATGCTTTTGCAAATAAAAGAGTCATTGTTCCCTTTCTCTGTAAACTGAAGAGTGGTGGCCATTAGAACATGGCAATTGCTTCCATTGAGGACATAATATGCTGTCTTGGGATACCAGTCACAGTGTTTCAGAAATACGTCTGGTTGGGTTGCCGCTGTATGACAATGCTTTAGCATTTTATGGATATGTACACACTGTGCTCTCAGTGCTCCTGAAGAGGCCTGCTCTTGAGCAAGCCTATTTGCATGGCCCACGCCTGGAAATGAGACACTCCAGGCACACCCTCTGTGGCTGCTCTTAAGATTTCTGTCCCCAGAGTGCTTGAAAATGACTTTGGGGGCTTCATTCCCAAAGCAGTTTTACTGACCAAGCCAGGTTTGACATATGAGAGGGGGAGCTGGTGGGTGGGGTTATGCTCGAGCAGCTTTCCCTAAGTATAGGAACACAGTATAGATATACTCTTAAGTCTTCACAGCCTTGCACATCTATTAGTTTTGAAATGACTGGTGGAAAATTGGAGGACATGTAGCTAGCTCCCTGTTCACAGATGGGGCAGAAAGTTTAAACGTCCGTTTTTGCTTGTGTTGATAGCAGTGGGTTAAGGAACAGGTCCTAAGAGACTTGGCCTACTAGTGTGCAGCAAGTCAGCAAGAGATCCAGGAATGTTCAGGAAATCCAGCCACCCACACCATGTGTTCACTCCTCTAAATTACGTTGCCTTACCTAGGCCTGATAGCATAATAATTCAAGAGCACCGTGGCTAATATATCAGGCTTGCATCCTGATTTTTTTTTTCTTTTTTTGTCCAAAACTTGTAAAGACTTATTGTCATGGGCTGAGATTTACAAAGGCCTGTAACCATGGGTCCGTTATAAATCCTAGCCAGATTATCTGCTGGGACTTTATTAGCAAATAGTGACTTGGTGTTACTCTTATCCAGTGGCATGGTAGTTCTGCCTCTGTTACAGGCCAAACGATAATGTACAAGCATGTGGAATTTCCAGGCCCAGACCTATGAAAGAAACTAGCCCCCACGTTAATCTAAAGTGAATGCATGATTGTTTGTCATCTCTGTGCTTCTTTTGGCATGATTGTCAGTCAGGAGAGTTCCTGTGACTTTCAGTGATTGCAAGACAGATAAGTTCTGTGACAGTTTGGCTGAGTGGTGCCAGTGATGAGTCATCATGCCTGTTTTCTCTGCAGACAACAAAGGTGACATTTTTCCAAAGCACTTAAGTGACTTAGAAACTAAAGTCCCACTGATTTAACACAAGACAGTGGTTTTGCAAATGACTTGTGCACTTCCAAAAAGGTTATTCAATTTACTTTAGTTACTTCTGTCCCCTCTCACTTCTATGGAACCAAGCACTCAGCAACATGTTATCCTTTTGTTCAAACTTACCTTCATTAAGAAGTTTAATACACGAGGGTGTGTGTTTTCAGTGACTGTCATGATGATTATTCTCTCAGGTGGACTTGGGATCAGGACCAAATCCTGGTGTGTTGTTTCATAGTTTGTAGGGTCAGAAGAGACCTGAGCAGATCATCAAGTCTGACCCCCTGCCATGGCAGGAAAGAGTAATGGGGTCAAACGACCCCAGCAAGGTGATTGTTTACCCTTGTGTTAAAGACCCCCAGGGTAGGAGCCAGTACCACTTCACGTGGAAGTTGGTTCCAGATCCTAGCTGCCCTGACAGTGAAGTAGCGCCTCGTGATGTCTAATCTGAATCTACCCTCTGCCAGCTTATGACCAGTATTTCTAGTCACTCCTGGTAGTGCTCGGCGGAACAGGGACTCCCTCAGTGCCTGCTGGTCCCCTCCCGACTAGTTTGTAAACAGCCACTAGATCCCCCCTTAGCCTTCTCTTGTGGAGGCTGAACAGGTTCAGGTCCCTTAGCCTCTCCTCATAGGGCCTGCCCTGCTGCCCCCAATCATGCGGGTGGCCCTCCTCTAGACCCTCTCCATGTTGTCCACATCCCTCTTGAAGTGCAGTGCCCAGAAATGGACGCAGTACTCCAGCTGCGGTGTGACCAGTGCCGCGTAGAGGGGGAGTATCACCTCCCTGGACCTGCTCAAGATGCATCTGTGGATGCATGACAAGGTGCGGCTGGCCTTCCTGACTGCATCCCCACACTGGCAGCCCATGTTCATTTTGGCATCAATGATGACTCCAAGACCCTTTTCTGCCTCTGCACTGATGAGAAGGGACTTCCCCAGCCTGTAGGTATGGTGCTGGTTCTTCCTGCCCAGGTACATCACCTTGCACTTGTCAGTGTTGAATCCCATCCTATTCTCATCCGCCCACCCCTGTAACTTGTGTAGGTCTGATTGTAGCCTATTCCTCCCTTCTAGTGTGCCCACATCCCCCCACATCTTATTGTCATCAGCAAATTTGAACAGGGTGCTTTTTACCCCCTCGTCCAAGTCACTGATGAAGATGTTGAACAGTGTGGGCCCAAGGACCGAGCTCTGCGGAACCCCACTGCCCACATCCCTCCAGGTCGAAAAGGACCCATCCACCACCACTCTCTGGGTGCGGCCCTCCAGCCAGTTGGCGACCCATTTGGCTGTGTTGTGTATCTGCAAGTTCTGTTATTGGAGGGTTTTAAGACCCAGCTAGACAATGCCCTGGCTGGAATTACATAGTTTAGGATGGTTCTGCTTTGAGCAGGGGGTTGGACTAGATGACCTTCTGGGGTCCCTTTTAAGTCTCATTTTCTATGATGCTATTAGGTACTGCTGTGATGCCTAGAGTTTTCAGTGAGATAGGGGCCTCTGTGCTGTTTATATATGTAGCAAGAAACAGCTCTGAAAGAACTTAAGTTCTAAGTAGACAAAATAGAAAAAGAACAGGAGAAAGGAAATATTATCCCAGTTCACAAATAGAGAAGCACAAAAGGCTATAGCTGTGCTTCAGGAAGGTGCAAAAGCTGACGTGACTATGCCAGAGCAATCCTGGTGAGTTCAGTGGAAATGTGCACGGAATTTGTTACGCACATGCTTATATAGCTCCTTGTGGCAAAACTTAGGTCTCTCAAGGCCTGATTTGGAGCATTAATTGCAAGACTGTCCATCCTTTCAGAAGGCAGTGGAATTTTGGGGAGCTTGGCAAACCAAAGAATTTGTTCATACTGTATGAATTCCTTCAGGAGCGGGAGTTTGCTGCAGGTGGATGCTAACAAGATAATGAGAATGATCCCCTCTTTATCCTGTGTGTTGCTGAGTTTAGAATGTTGGTGTTTGTTTGAGTTGAGCTGGGTTTAGAATGGTGGTGTATGTGTTAACGAGCTAGACTAAGCATCATAAATAGTGTTTTATGTGTTTTGGAATCAGACAACTCTTTCTGTTTGTTATTCTCAGATTTGCTGGGCACTAGACTTGAAAATGAAGGGGACAATCTCCTGCAGACACAGGCTTGTCTGTGTTATATTTGTGCTGGGGATGTAGAGAAACTAGTTTCATGTTGGACTAAAGCTCAGGATGCAAGCAGTCCCTTGTCCCTTCAGGTTAGTGACCCTGTGAAAAAGATGTTGAGTGTTGTGTGACCTGCTATGGTAATGGTGCTTATGGTAAGTATTTGGGTTTGAATTTGAAAGTACAGACTTTTATATAGGCAGACAAGGTTCTTTGCTTCCTCAGCCTGACAAAGGACATTTGTGTCTGAAAACTTGCTAAGAAGAATTTTTCCAACTATTTGAGTTGGTCTAATAAAAGATATTAGATTTACCCAAAGAACCTTGTTTGCCTATGTCCTTAGACCAGCACGGCTACAGCCTACACCCCTGAGACTTTTATATAGACTTTTGTCATAGTTGCTCCGAGCAAGTTTCTTCAGCTTGCAAGTCATTTGTTGCTGTAATAGACTCATGTATTTTTAATCAGCTATAAAATATGGACACTGTATTGC